GAGAGAGAGAGGGAGAGAGAGAGAGGAAGGGAGGGAGAGACCAATTTAACAGGGGGTAAATAAAACTACATTTTATTTTTAAAAAGAACTTGGCATATAAAAATATTTTTAAACTTTAAACATTAAATGCAAGCATTCAGTACTGAAAGAGATAAATCATAGAGCCCCAAAATCATGGTTAGCTGCTTACAAATGAATTAAAACATGAGATCCCAAAAGAACATGTAATGCTCCAAGTAGACCACAGGATGGCAAAGATCTATTCTATAACAAGGTGGGATAGTTTCAAATTAATAATTCTACAAAGGACAAAAGAGTAAGTTATCGTTACTATTAATGGTATAATAACATGTGATAATGTACTAAATAGGTTATAATTATGTGCTATAATAAAAGTGATAAAGTGTAATAATTAAAAATGGAATTAAAATGAAAATAACAAAATATTCTATACTAACGGGCACAAGTTGCAGTGCAAAATATACAAATGTTATAGGAGGATTAAATTAGAGGAATATGCATGAAATTGACCAATATGGCAAGGTACTGGAAATTTAAGATAAAATAAGGAATAAAGAACAACATGTTCTATAGATTCAATGTGCCCAAATTCATTGGGATATAAGAATTCTGAAAAAGAATGTTCTACATTTCAGAGCTCCAAGATGCCGATGATAAGCTTCAGGGATTATTAAACAGAGATTTTAGAAAAGATGTTATCATCATAACTAAAGAAAAGCAGGTAGAAAGGAGAGAGTCTTAATAAAGCTAATTTTGCTTATAGTGAGGATCAGAATCTATCCTTCACTGATAAAAAAAAAGCTAAGCTCATTGGGAAACATGTTAATCCTACCCAGAGGCTAATTATACCCAGAACTCTAAACTCTATTTTCACCAAATAGGATTGGAGTACCACATCATTTTTTCTTACATCTTCTTACATTTTTCTTACAACTTTTTCCCATTTGATAAATTGGGAGATTAATCTATTATTTCTATGTCAAACAAGACTCATACTTTCTTTTTCTGCAATATCTATACTTTCTTCAATGTCTTTTTTTCCTAAATTCGACTTTTGACACTACTAAAAATGGCTTGTATCCTTCACTAATTCTCTAATCATTCATGGTTAAACAGTAAAATCAGTTGGGCTCTTAGCTTTATATTGATTTTTTTTCCATTTGTACATATGAATAGACTTATGTTTAAACCGCATACTTGATACAGCCCTTTTTTTAAGCAGATACTTATCAGTCACCATTCTCATTCATTTTTGGGACTGCGAATGGACAAATAATTTTTTTCAGTATTGTCTTGTCTCATTTTCACTTATCATCTAAAAAAATGTTTTTCCCTATACATCACATTTATTTAGAATTTTACATACTTTCCCCTTAACCAAGAATGAATTAGCAAAAAAAATTATGTGCCATGTAACATGCATCTTTGATTAAATTACAGCTAGTCCTTGCTTAACGATGCTCCTGTTTAGCAACTGTTTGAAATTACAACAGGTCCTCACACTTACCAAATATATCAGCGTTCCCATGGTGACATAACTGACATTTGGGCACTTTGCAGTTGGTAGACATTTACAACCATCTCGCTGTCCCACAGTCACATGATTGCCATTTGCGCAGTTTGAAGCCTGCTTTCTATAAGCAGAGTCAATGTAGGAGCCAGCAGTAAAATCGCAAGCCATGATCATGTGATGCCTCGCGTAAGAACTGCAGCAGAAGCAAAATCACAAGTCCATCTTGGTCACATGATGTCTTTCTTAACAACTGCATTGCTTAGTGATGGAACTGCCAGTCCATTTGTGATCGTCAAATTACAATAGTTCATTTAGTGACCGTTTGAAGTTACAGTGGCACTAAAAAGTAAGTTATGACCATTTTTCATACTTACAACCGTTGCAGCATCCCCATGGTCATGTGATCAAAATTCAGATGCTTGGCAACTGACTCATATTTATGACGGTTGCAGTGTCCTGAGGTCATGTGTGATCACCTTTTGCGACCTTCTGACAAGCAAAGTCAATGGGGACTGCTTTGATAAGTAACACACTTATCAACTGTGTTACTAACTTAACAACTGTGGCAAGAAAGGTTGTAAAATGGGACAAAGTTCATTTAACAAACATGTCACTTAGTAACAGAAATTTGGGGCTCAATTGTGGTCATAAGTTGAAGACTATCTTTACTTGTATTCATTTTTTCATTTGAACCAACACCCTAGCTGACACCAAGTCATACTTTCTGAAATACATTTTAACCTTCTCATTTGTAATTAAATGTACACCCTCTCTTCCATAAATACATTAATCAACTCCACTCCACAAAATTATATTGCTTGTCTATGGCATCCTTCACAACTACTGTATATTTTTTCTTCCATTTTCATGTATTAATTCCTACTGTTAATTATTTACTCTTTAAGTCACAATCTTCCATTGTCACAGTTGTCATCAGCTCATCTTGACCTTTTCCACTCATCATGGGTTTGGTCAGTTGAGGCTTTCATTAGATGATGGAAGGAATAGTCTAGGTTGCTAGTCTTAATTATACCAATGCTCCACACAATATACAGCGCTTTGCTAATGGAAAATTCACTAACAGTAAGTTTAGTATATTTTGTCTAGTATGCTGCAAAATGCATCCAAAGCCCTGCTTTACCCCAGGCAAGCAATATACTTTGCTTATGTTCTATCTATTGGAAAGTGCCTGCATTACACTGACATAGTGAGGATACCTATCTGCTTTGAACATTAAAGATTCTAAGTTTAAACTAAGTTTAATTATTTAACCACATACTAGAACTTATCTGTGATTGTCTAGAACAGGGGTGTCAAACTCGCAATGTCACGTGACGTGTTGCGACGTATTGCGACTTTTTTGACACTGCCGGCAATGGGGTGGGCACGGTTTCGCTAGGATGCATCCAGCCCGCGGGCCAGCAGTTTGACACCCCTGGTCTAGAATGTTACTAAAGTATTCTTTAATAATACTCACTGTCATTCTGTTTGTGTTTAGTTTCCGCTAAATTTAAATACTGGTTGCAAATTAAGCAAAATTCACAGTCAGAGTAAGCAGATTTGTATTCTGGATGTTGCTTTAGAGGATGACTAATGACTCTCAATTTATTTTAGGCATTCTTTAACTTTACCAAAAGAAAAGTGGATTATGAGACTTTCAAAGCAGTTAATGATGCATGCCTTGTCTATGATGGGAGGCTTGTGATTGATACCAACTTCCATACTAATGATGTGAGCATCAGAGCTGCAGGTCCTTTAACCAAATTTTCCAATATCTACTATGCTAATGAATGGACACACAGCAATTTCAGCTCAAAAGAGATTGGATTTCAGCTTGCTGCAACCATGCTGAATCTTTTTGATCCAACTCTAGAGCCAATTTTTGAACCTCCAGAAGATTTAGATAGACTAATTCCTATGTACAAGGGAAGCAAAATTCAAGGTGAGTCAAATACATTTGTTTTTAATAATCTTGCATTTCTATAAATTTCACCTTGATATATCAAAAATATTTTGAAGTAAAAATATCAATTCATGATATATCAAATTCAGAAAAACAACATTGTTACTCATTGACAAAATATTTTTTTCTGTTTTGTTTGCTTATTTATTTAAGTATTTATTTATTGCCAAGATTATCTAGCATGTGCACCAAATCCAAATTCAAAAACTGTATTGTTGTGGCTATATACAGGAAAATTAGAACTGCTTCTTAGGTATTTATGCAGGTTAAATAATAATAATAGTGCTCTGGGACTTTAGAATTTAAAGAGACAGGCACCTAACCATATAACAACCCAGACTTAACAATTGTTGGTTTTAAAAAAGACAAAAAAGTCTAGATAGTGGAGATGACAGTACCTGGAGACAGCAGAAGAGAAGAAAAAGAGCTGGAGAAGAAAACAAAATACAAAGGTCTACAAATAGAAATAGAACAATTATAGCAAAAAAAGCAAAGGTAGTATCAATAGTAATAGGTGCCTTGGGTGCAATCCCAAAACAACTGGAGCCTCACTTGAACACCATCACATTGACAAAATCACCATCAGTCAATTGCAAAAGGCAGCTTTACTCAAACAGTTTACATCCTGCAATGATAAGTTCAACACCATCCAAAATCAACATCTTTCTATTCCAGGACCTTGGGAGGGACTTAATAGGTGGATAAAAATGCCAAATCCAATCTGAACATCTCACTGACTGCACAATGAAGCATTGTAATTTATGAATCTTGTATGTCACCTAACTTGTAATGACTGGGCAGCTCATAACAAAAAAAAAGTACAATGAAAGCAATGGAATATACAAGATAAAGATAAAAGATTGCAAGTATGATGAAATGAGAGGTTTTATCCTTCCTTGCCAAAGGCCTGAGTGCTACTCCATCCAAAGTCAGAATGAAATATCAGTCAGCCAAACACCCCCACACACACACACAAAAAAAAAAACACTATGTAGAAACAAAAAGACATCTTCCACACCAAGCCCTCTTCAGCCAATTCCTCAGGAATTCTAGAAGGTTTACAAATATTAAAAAAACAATGAAATAAAATTACATTGTAAACCTTCAGTAAATAAATTGTAACAAAATTAGGAAACAGATACTGTATAGGTAAATTTGTGTATATTTGTACATAAAAGTCCTTGAGTGTGAGGGTCATCCTCACCTCAGGGGATCAACTGTTTCACAGGAGGGGAGCTGCCACTAAGAACTCTGATATCTGATCTCTTCTTCATGCTTCACCTCCTGGTAGAGGGGACCATTAGAACACACTTTCTGGTTGTCAGGATTAAATGGGCAGAAAAAGCCTCCAGGCCCTGGGAAATGAATGGCTCCGTGCAGTTTAAAAGGTAATATTTTTCTGGCTGGGGCCAAGACAGTCTAGGCTAAGGCCAAGTAGCCACCCACCTAGAGACACCAAATTTTAAGGGGTCCCAAAATTGAAAAGACTTCCAAAAACACTATGAAAAAGCAAAAGGTAGTAACAGTGCATTCTGTAAACCAGAGTGGTTAAATATAATTTAGGGGTTAAATATAATTTAATAGTGTAAGTTAATTGGGTGAAACCAGGCTTAATAGCAGCAACTGTAAGAGGGATCTTGGAGTCTTAGTGGACAATCAATTAAATATGAGCCAACTGTGCGGCAGCAGCCAAAAAAGCCAATGCAATCCTAAATTGCATTAAATTGCTGAAGATCACGTGAGATACTAATACCACTCTATAAAGCCTTAGTAAGACCACACCTAGAATACTGCAATCAATTTTGGTCTCCACACTATAAAAAAGATGTTGAGGCTCTGGAGAGAGTGCAGAGAAGAGCAACAAAGATGATTAGGGGACTGGAGGTTAAAACATGAAGAACGGTTACAGGAACTGGGTATGGCTAGTCTAGTGAAGAGAAGGACCAGGGCGGACATGATAGCAGTGTTCCGATATTTGAGGGGCTGTCACAGAGAGGAGGGGTTCAACCTATTTTCCAAAGCACCTGAAGGCCAGACAAAGAATAATGAATGGAAAATGATCAAGAAGAGATTCAACCTGGAAATTTCCTGACAATGAGAACAATCAACCAATGGAACAGACTGCCTTCAGATGTTGTGGGTGCTTCATCACTGGAGGCTTTCAAGAAGAGACTGGACTGCCATCCATCAGAAATGGTGTAGGGACTCCTCCTTGGGCAGGGGGTTGGACTAGATGACCTACAAGGTACCTTCCAACTCTGTTATTCTAATCTATTCTAATTGAAAATGTCAGAGAGAGAGAAAAAAAGTCCAAGGCAGAAAATAATAACTATAATGCTCAGAAACACAAACAGTAACAACAACAACAAATAAGAATGTCTTTTTTGCAATTCCTAACAAAATTGGAAGATGAGCCAAACAATTGGGTTACCAGAATATGACTGTCTAGGACAGGGGTAGGCAACCTTGGCTCTTTTATGACTCGTGGACTTCAACTCCCAGAATTCCTGAGCCAGCCATGCTGGCTCAGGAATTCTGGGAGTTGAAGTCCACGAGTCATAAAAGAGCCAAGGTTGCCTACCCCTGGTCTAGGATGCCAGAAAGTCCAGAACTGGCTCCGGTTTTGACCACATTTCAAATTACAACAGTAACCTGAGAAAGAGAAAAACTAATTTTGATTTGATTCAGTCTAAAATAGAATTAACTTGATTGTTGCTAATATTTTTAATAAATTTCCTCATTTCATAGGAAGCAAGTTTTAGGGGCTCAGAGAGGGAGTACACCTAAGAGTTTCAGGATCTGCAAGCAGCCCAGAAAGCCTCTTATTGTGGACAGTACATGAAAGAAAATTGGGCAAAACTTTGCCATTTACTTTGTTGAACTCTTGCAGACACAATTTCCTCTCTTCTCACATTCTTCCTTCTGCTTCTTTTCTCTTCAAATAGAGAAAATGGTTTAAAAGAAGTGATAAGAGTTGCAGTAGAACTCACATTTTGCAACTTTTATGATCAAACTAGTTGTTAAATAAAAAATAATCATTAGAAAATCATAACCTACCCCAGTTGCCTGATTAAATCTGTTTCCTCACTTCTTTGTCATACAGTCATGTTTTTCATTTAACATATTTGCATGGCATCTCCTATGCCAAGCATGAAGCGGGTCTGAGAATCCAGTAATCCCTTTTCATTATTAAAAAGATCTTGAATATTCATCCAGTATTCTGGTCCTCTCAGCTGTGGTGTTTACAGAAAGCAGAATTTATCTTTTGCATTTCTTGAAAAGATTACAGTGATTGAAGTTAGAATTTCAGTCCAGCATGTAACCACTACAGTGCAGGCCATCAATTGAATTGCAACAAAGTTTCGTCTGTTCTTTCAGTCACCCTGGATTGGTTTTAAAAAATAACAAAGTACTTTGAAGGCCTGATGATTAATAAATTTACTGATTTTATATAATCTACATGTCTTGAAAACATTGTTTTTCACAGGTGGTGTTCTACCTGGAAAATATAATTATGTGCATATTTTTAAACCTGGGATTCCTGCCCGCTTGGATGTACAAGAATCACAACCTAATTATGTAAGTACTCCCTGAGTAATAAACAGTTGAGATTTGAATTACAAGTATCTTGGGGATATTTTTTTTTCTTTTTCAGGAAACTTATGGACATATAGTAAGCCTATAAATCAGACAAATCAGTCAAAATGCTACATGAGGTGTAATGACATGACTGTCACAACATTGTTTACAGTGCTTTCAGTCCTCTAGTATATTAATTAAATGCATGAATTTTTTGCTAGCAATACTAATAAGCACCTTAAAACAAATATATATATAATAGTTATGTTCTTCTTGCCTTTTTATGCATCACTGTTAAATATATATGTACCAAGTAGTTCTGCTGAGAAGATTTCCATTGCTTGGAAATCTTTTCCTGTAAAGAAACTGATAGAACATTTAAATAGAGCTAATCTTGCTGCTGATAACAATGTTGGAATATAAACTTTGTGGTATAAGGAGAAATCCTATTGTAAGGCATTGATATAAAGCATTTTTGTACTAACCAACCTTCCTCCCTGTCTTCCTTGTTCTCTTCCTGGAGTGAGTAGATTGATATGTGATCTAGCTTTGCCTGTTGTCCCAACACTTTTCTCAATTTATTATAGGGGATGGCAATCACAACAGGAGATGCGATAAAGGGAACTTACTTCAGAATACATGTCAATCAATACAGCATAATAGAAACCATTACTTGCTTTTCAAAGAAACCTATTCCTGTTTCCAACTACATATGTTTATTTGGACACCATGAACGTCTTCTTAATAACCTTTGTTCTCGCTGGAGGGAGGGACTTATCTCAAATCTCTATAGGTAAGATAAAATTTTATTCTGCTTATGAAATCTATTATAATGTAGCTATTTGAGGCAGATTTCACTTTTGAAGAAGCATCTTGTCCTGGTCATAGGCAACATAAATAACGGATACTTGTTCCTGAAAGGTAAGCAGAGAGTCCATGAAGAACATTGTTAGGAATTGCTTAGTGACTTTACTATTCTGTATATTTGAATATACTACTGTATAAGCTACTATCAGAAACGTTGATTGTAAAGAGGGGGGGGGGTACACATTTTTCAAAGAGAGTAATTAATTAAAATGTGGCTAGTCTTTAGGGCTGAGAGCTATAGTACTGTTTCAGATTTTGAGCACTTGTGATAGATGTACTACAAAATTATTGTTTTAGGAGTCTTGCCTGTTCACTATGCTGGATAAGGCCTGTCCAAAAATACTAAAAGGTCATAGAAACGAATGTTTTGCTTTGCTGAAAGCCAGTTCTTGTTTTTTAAAAAATTAAAATAATATGTAAAGAAAAGAGGGTGGGGCAGAGATTTTTGTTTTAGCAGTATATTGATGGTTGTAGGCAGCACACTGCCTGTTGCTGGTTTTTAAAAGTAGTTGCTTGATTGCCTTTCCTAGTAGAAAGCTTGAGTGAGAGAACGTTGTACATATATTTCTTAGTAGCACTCCATTATCTCTACACAGAAAGAATGTCCAATTTTTTTCTCCCTTGTCTGTTTGAACTAAGAGATGTTTCCAGTCTCAGTGGCATGATGTTCATCTGTTGGGGAATGGCATCCAGCAGCCTCAATCGACACATACTTGCAGTTTTTTAATACTTGAATGTGTCATTCAGGCTGCATACTACCAAGAAAAAATATATGAATCTTCTGTTGACACAGCAATTAAATCTCTTTTTTAACATATTAGATAATTATAAGTTGAGATGTTTTCAGAGAATAGTTAGTGTGACATTTGTGCAGTTAAAAGCCCTGTGCCTTTTTTACATATGCCATATATGCAACAAATGTTAAACAGGGTCAGGAGTCAGGACTTCAATCATGCAACACCCTGTTGAGGTTTTGACCCTCCAGGAGTTTCCCTGATGATGAAGACTATTTCTTCAAGGAGTCTTGAGTAGTGTACTTTAGCAATAATGTAAATTAGGGAAGATGCATGCAAACTGATTTTGATCCATAGAACCCTAGCAGAAATCCTCTTTATTATTCCGCTTTAGAGCATAAGGAAAAGCCGTTTTGCTAACACTTCCTTTGGGGAAAAAAATATTAAATTTTAATGTTTCCAATGCACTTTGAAAAGTGGATTTATCATTTACATATGTACCTAAGAATCTTGATCATTTCTTTGATGATGCTATACATCAAATGGTTAGTATCTACATAAATGATCAGAGTATATAATCAGAGGAACATGAAAAATGAGAAAGTGACCTGCATAATGGTGTACAGTAAGAGGGAAACAAATGCATTTTGTCCCAGTGTTGAAAAAAATGTCTTTTAAAAAAAAATATGCTAATATTAGAAAATGGAACACTAACAGGACTTATCGAATACACAATCCTATACAAAATGCTTATGTTTTTTTTTAATTTATATTTGGTTGTTCTAAGCCAGATTCATGCAGTTCTACATCATCTGTCAAATGAAGAAAGGCTTGTGTATTATTCCACATATCTGCTAAATCACAAATTACGTGTTTTGTTTTTAAGCAATACTTTTTTCAGAATTCATATAATGTAAAATAGCATCCCTAAAGGTCCTGCTCTGCTGAATTAAAGAATAAATCATGTAAAATTTTATATTATTTACTAATGTGAAAACCTTTGTTTTAAATTTTTTGTTCTTAGGTTAAACTCTGATTCTAGTGTTTTAAAAACACAATGGATGGTTACATTTCTAGAAAGATATTGACAAGTTAGAAAATGCTCAGAAAAGGGTGTCAAAGGAACACTTTGAGAACATGTCCTTAGAGGAGAAGCTGAGTCATTTGGATAGTGAGATTGGCAATGTCTAAATTTGGTAAATACATAAATACAGGCTGGAGTAAACACATGGAAGATGAATAATATCAATATGCTTAAAAAGATACTACCAGGAAGATGGTTAGGAATTATTTTCCACAGAAATGAGAACAGATTAGATATAAATTGCAGTTACCTAGATTTCCTAGGTACTGACAGAGGTTGTGGATTCTCCATTTCTAGAGTTAATTGTGGATTTTTTAAAGTTGGACAGCCACTTCTCAAGAATTGGTTTTCCAGAATATTGCAGAGGGTTGAATTACATTATTTTTGTAACTCCACAATTCTGTAATTCACACAACACCTGAACCAAAACTATATTATGGCTTTACACAATGTATGAACCCAGAATGTCAAGATACTAAAGGGAATTGTGGCAAGTATAATACATCTTTAACTTTAAGAGAGCTAATTTCAACAAATTTAGACAGAGCTTGAGAAAGATTCCATGGATGAGAATCCTCAAGGGGAAAACAACTCAAGAAGCTTGGGAAATTTTGAAAAGTGAGATTATAAAAGCCCAGTCTAGCACAATACCAATGAAGAAGAAAAATAACAGCTCTCAAAAGAAACCAGCATGGCTGCATAAAGAACTCTCTGATAAATTGAAAGACAAAAAGAATAAGTATAAAAAGTGGAAAGAGGGGCACATAACTAAGGCAAAATATCAGCAAATAGCCCGAACCTGCAAAGATGAAGTGAGGAAAGCTAAGGCTCAAAATGAACTAAGGCTTGTAACAAAAGTCAAAAATAACAAAAAAAGCTTCTTTCAACATGTAAAAAACAAGAAAACAGTTAAGGAAATGATTGGTCCACTAGTGGGAGAAAGTGGCAAGAAGGTGACAAGCAACAGGGAGAAAGCAGAACTACTCAACTTGTTTTTTGCATCCGTATTTACACAAAGGGAAAAAACAGTCCAATCTATCAAAAACAGTACCGTAAAAACCAGATTAGAAACACAAGTTCAAATTACCAGAACCAGATGTACTACACCCCAAGGTTCTGAAGGAACTGGCAGATGTGATCTCAGAACCACTGAACTATATCTTTCAAAGATCCTGGAGCACAGGGGAACTACCAGAGGACTGCAAAAGAGCTGATGTAATTCTCATCTTCAAAAAAGGGGAAAAAATGGATACAGGAAATTACAGACCTATCAGCCTGTGGTCCTCAATGGAACTGCATCTACATAGAGGGAAGTGTGTAGTGGGGTGCCCCAGGGCTCTGTTCTGGGCCCAGTGCTCTTCAACCTCTTCATCAATGATTTGGATGATGGGATAAATGGGGAACTCATCAAATTTGCAGATACCAAGCTAGCAGAAATAGCCAACGCTCCAGAAGACAGGCTTAAGATACAGAAGCATCTTGACAGACTTGAACATTGGGCACTATCTAACAAAATGAAATTCAATGGTGAAAAAAGTAAGGTTCTACACTTAGGCAAGAAAAACCAAATACACAGGTATACTATGTCGTACCTTGATCAATAGTAGTAACTGTGAGAGGGATCTCAGAGTCCTAGTTGACAATCACTTAAATATGAGCCAGCAGTGTGCTGCAACTGCCAAAAAAGCCAACCCAGTGCTAGGCTGCATTAACAGAGGGATAGAATCAAGATCACATGAAGTGTTAATACCACTTTACAATGCCTTGGTAAGGTCACACTTGGAATACTGCATCCAGTTTTGGTCACCACAATGTAAAAAAGATGCTGAGACTCTAGAAAGAGTACAGAGAAGAGCAACAAAGATGATCAGAGGACTGGAGGCTAAAACATATTAGGAACGGTTGCTGGAATTGGGTATGTCTAGTCTAATGAAGAGAAGGACAAGGGGTGACATGATAGCAGCGTTCCAATATCTCAGGGGTTGCCACAAAGAAGAGGGAGTCAAGCCATTCTCCAAAGCACCTGAAGGCAGGACAAGAAGCAATGGATGGAAACTAACCAAAGAGAGAAGCAACCTAGAACTATAGCATTTTTAGGACAAAATATAGGAATAGATTTTTTTCTATTATTTTACAGACTTCCAATAAAGAGCACAGTTAAGTTCTTCACTCCAAGGCTTTTTTTAAAAAAAATCCTTTTATAACTGGATTAGTTTTTCCCAGCATGGTAGCCAATGCCAAGAATGAACTCAGTGAAACAGCTGTCACCTGGGAGTTAATTTGCCTCTTTGTGACATGCAAATTATCTTTTGAATTAGAGGCCATATCTAGCCATGAATTGTATTCATCAGATTCAAAGTTTTAACTCTTTGGTGATGGATTTTGTGACAGCAGAATTGTGTTTCAAAATTACCGTAGTTAAATTTAGATGTGGCCTACAAGAATAATAAATCCCACCATTTCTGACAATGCTGGTTCTTCTACAAGCTCATCATTTATATTCCAGCTGGGTTAATTCCTACTATCTGTAACTGGAGCTTCAGATGCAGCACTTCTTTCAATTTCCGATAAACTGGCTTTTGTCAGGCAAGACCTTACAGCTATTTCATTTTCTTGACAGTGACGAGTCTGTTTTTCCACTGTTTCTCACTGAACTGAAAAAAATAGGACACAATATCTTTTATAGATTTTGGTCAACCTCCCACTATTAAAATGATTCTTGGGAACTATAAACTTCTGCTAAATACTCTCTGATAAATCATTACATATGACTTTAACTTCTTGTTAATATAGGAAAAGCCCCTTTGATGGGAATGCACACAAATGACAGTTGCCAGGTAAAATTTGACATGTTGGATTTTTTTTCCTGTGATTTCAAATGTGATTTTAGTGTGCTGGAATCAGTTCTGAGCTTTAACAAGACATCTTTCCAACGTTAAAAACTAGCTTCAAATCTACAAAAATATGTGCATTTTGAATTTTATAAATTGGAAAAAATATTTTCTTAAAATCAGCCCAGCAGAACAGAGAAGCCAAAGGAGGCTTTCCTTTCTAATAATTATTACAGAATCTTTTCAAGTATATTTTATTATGATTTTGTGATAATTG